TTTAGTGGACCAGCCACAGAATGCGCTAGTGTCTAAACTTTTATTTTCTACCTTTTTTGTCATTGCTGACCATGTTGATCAGCTCACAATAAGGGGTCTGACTTAGGGGAGGTACGATTGAGGCATTAGTTCAAAATTCCTCCGTGAACAGCGTTGTAGTAGAGAGCACTTTGGCAATGAATTTTACTAATCACAAAAATAGTTCTGTTCATAAAATAAAATTATTAATGCCTCAAATTCAATTTTATATTTTTTTTGTTAATTACAAAATTACTATCATAACCTAACCGAACTAACCAAACTTGCTGATAATGAAATAATTTAAAAAAGTTAATTAATAGAAAAAATAATTCTGTTCATTAAATAAAACTAGAATTTGCTCAATCAAAATTTTATAATGACTTAATAATAAAATTAAACTGTCATAACCGAACCAAACCAACCAAACTTGGTGATAATGAAAAAATCTTGGTCAAAAGTTTGTGTCACCAGCGGGATTCGAACCTGGGAGTTTCAGCATATCGATCCGGCACGCTAACAACTAGATCACCGAGGCCGATGGCTGCAATCTGCAATCCGTATTGTTACGATAATGGTGTTCCCTCAGCTAATGAGAAGCCCACAGCTGTCACCGTAAGCTCATCTCTATACCTCCCCTGAGTAAATACCCACAAGAAGCCATTATAGTTTGGCTCGCTAAAAAGTCTGTATGTTCAAAATAAATTAGTAATTTAAACCAGCACAATTGATGTCGGTGGCTCACATCAACTAACTATGACTATTTTAATTCTAAAACAGGTGAACGTTTAACACAAGGAGGAAGTTTAAGACAGAAAAAATCATATATTTTGATAGAATGGAAATGAGGATTTTTCGATAAGCTTAGTTGTACGTATGAGCAGTTTTCGTATACAATGTGATGAAAATCGCTCTAAATAGCATACAAAACAGGCAACAACAAGATAGCCAATTGACGACTTTAAAATATTAGTTTTCGTAATTCTCAAACACATTTTTAACAATTGACAGAAAATAGTAACATAAAGCGTGTATATTTCTGAAACTTAGTTGTTAATGACCATTATAGATGTTTACACGTACCAGTGCAACATGTGTTGTGGACATGTGCAACGTCCCGAGTTACGTAAACAACTCTTTATTGTGTTTTAACACAACATCCCCAACTGAAACAACCAACACGATCAGACATGTTACTGGAATCGTCGTAATGATCACGAACAAGTGAACTTTACTACCCAACTATAACACGGTTCAACATAGTTCTACATTCTACAACATAGATCTGTGTTAAGGTTTAAAATTAGCTGTACCAGAACTGAAACGTCTGTTTCTGGAAAGTTTTAAAATTATTAGTTTATTAATACATTTTTTACTTAATTTAAATCTCTTTTCAGTTAGAGGAGTGATAAAAAGAAATGGCTGAACAAAAACGCACTCGTATGCCGGATCCAGAGCTTATTTTATTCACATAAACTACCCTTAAAATGTCTTTAGTATATCCGTTCAGATGACAAAATGTAAGGAGTAGGCCTATAATTGTTTTTGTTAGCATCTAAGATGTTAACATTTTTTGTATTTTTATTGAGCATAAATGCCTTAAGAGCGATGAAAACAACTAAGTCAATAATGTCACTCTTTCGTTAATTGTTATTAAAGAAATAAATTAAATAAATTCATCATAGATTTGATGACGAAAGATATACGAGTAGTTCTATTTCCGAATCAAACTGCAAAGCTACACAATATGAGAAGACTTAAAACAGCTGCGGAGAAGTGGCATCAAAGGAACTCTCATATTTACTTTGTGGCTTTGGCTTTTTGTTTCATGGCCTTCTCAATGGGAATCGGATGTTTGTACAGCGTGAAAAAGCTTTGCTGAGTTCTGGATTTTGATACAACATTGTAGGTGAAATTGTCTCGACAGATCTGTAAAAAATACTACCTATTTATTAAATTTTAAATTTTCAAAACACTGACATCTAAATAAAATTAGAGTTTTGTCTGTAAATTGCTCAGAATTATTTGTTTTTGGTTATTTTTACGTTTATACACTAAAGAAGCCGAAACAGGTCTTATCTCAATTTCTGTCTGTCTGTCTGTCACGGCCCAGAAGGCATTTTACGCGGCCTTCTCCTGAAAAACGAGAGTACCTATGAAGATTCACATCATTTTATTCACTTTATTGGCGAGAGTGTATTTAGCCATTAAAATATGGCCTCCTTATGTTTATAATTATATTAATTTAATAAATATAATTTTACGTTTGTTAATACATTTCTTTTTGTCATAAATTGTGTTCTTATTAATTTTCACAGCAGTCAATTATCTCAGGAATTAGCATACAATTTCATTGGAGGTTTAGAGTTTAGATTTTATTGATTAAAAGCCATTAATAGCCTCAACACTTAGTGTACATTAATCCCCCTGGGTTTCTAACAGGGAATAATCTATAGGCCTACTTCTTGTAGTATTTCTTAAAACAAACTTGTTGAGGTAGTTATTTCCTAAATTATATATTGTCATCTGACCCAATTAACTGCCATAATTATATGATGGTTGTACATTGCAATATATTGGTAGGTTGTTCTTTTCGTGGTTTATTCATTAGTATAAAATGAATTAATATCCAAAGTTAAGGTTTGTTACAAATTATTGAAAACCAATTTGGCAAAGTATTTTGATTGGAAAGTTTAATACATTTTAGACAGAAAAACATAAGATTTGGTTTTAAAATTTGTTTTCAATAAGTGAGGCATAATTTTCAAAAGGTTTGCTAAGAAAATAACCTTGACCTAACAACTTTTAAATATATAGGCTAAATTAATGGGCCCTCAAAAATGTATATTTTGTGTAGAGAACATGTTCTTACAATTAGAAAATTGAAATACGAGAATACAATTAAATTAAATTATTATGTTAGGAAAAAGGACAACGTTCTCAAAACACAATGTCTTTTTTTATGTAAACGGACAACCTAGGTATGCTCTGTTTAAGGCATAACAAATATTGTCAACAAATTAAAGTATAATAAAGCCAAAGATGTTAATCTTTAGTTGTATTGACTTAATAATTAGGGACAATTACATCAGTCAAGATGGTGTTTGGAGATATGTAAAATGAACGAAGTTTGACAGTCTATTTAGTCAGTATTCTTTGATCGAATAGGTTTCACTTACAAAGAATGTCATTGTGTATACAACTGTTATGTACATTATAGTATCATAAATTCAGTGATAACAACAACAAACTAAGAAATTTGAGGATGTCTGTGTAAGTATGATTTTGTTTACACTCGTTAGATCATAAAAATAAGTAACTATTAGAATACCTCAATTTATCTCTAACTATTTATTAGAACATTTGGAATATCTCACCCAGAAAAGTTATCGATTTGTATTTATTGACTTTTCGCTTCTCCCTTCACACTAGGGTAAATTAAATTAATCTGAAAAGATTGATATATTTGATTTTACCTAAAACAAACCTGAAATTGAGGATAAATTAAGATTTGTTTACATTTTTTTAGCAAACACAGAATACAGTAATAGTTCATCAAAATATTAAATTAATTTAATAAAAGAATCATACGGCTATCTAATTATTGACCCTTTTTTATTGCCAGTTATTCATACAGACTAGTGTTTTTTTCTTTCCACTATAAAAATAGAGCCTTTAAATTTAATAAGCTGTGCCAAGTAAAATCATCTTCTAAATTTTTTCAACAAGTTACTGTTAGGGTATTGTTATGTATGGTCGCCATTTCATTGAACAGTATTAACAGTGTTAACAGTGTTCTTTTATAAAAACCGACAGGACTCTCTAATATGAAGCTTAAGCTGACAGAGCCTCTTAAACCAAAAGTATCTGTCACAACATCCAAAATGAGGTAACGATTTGTGTCAAGATCAAAACAAGTAATCTGCATAATAACAGTTTTGTTAATAGTAAAAAGTGATCATGCTTATAGCCGCTTAATAGACGCAGTACCATTTTTACGAATTTTCCATATATAGGGAATAAACTATTATTGCGTAGGTCTCGTGGTATGACCCACATCCGGGACCGTTTTACTTTTTGTTTCCATGTCCCATAGAGCCCAAAAAAATCATCCAAAACAAAACATTACAATAACTCTAATAAAAACATCATCTGATATTGATGAAATTTGGTTCAAACATATAAATATAAATTTATTTAAACAGGTTTTGTGAACTAGGGAGTGTTATGGGGATTTTATAGGGTAAATATTGATTATTCCCATTTTTGACCCTTAAATTATAATTTTTTTTTTATACTTGAAAGACAAATAATTTAGTATATTGACCCATTGCTGTATGCTAAATATGGTTTTAGAATAAATAAAAGCTAGTTCCGTTTCCAACCATTAGTAAGATAATGTACGGTACCAAAAGAAACATAGAAAAGCCACTTGTCTCAAGATCCAGCAGGGACTTTCTGATTGTTAGGCTGAGTACTCATGGGCATCCATCTAACTTTTCCATAAGGGGGCCAGAAGGTCTGCAGGTACGGAATAACTCCCAGTAAAGGGGGGGGGGGTCTGGAGGGGCCTGCTCCAGAAAATATTTTTAAGTTAAGTAAAAAAATTTGATTTTACACATTTCTTACTTCTCCTCAGTCATGTTTGTATTATAAGTTATGTTTTTAATGCAAAATCTAAAAACATTAGTCAACACATCTTATTGATGGACGCCCATTACCACTCATCTACCATGTTGTATAGTTAGGAAACCTTTTGTGGTAACTTTGTTGCTTACATTATTAAGAGTAAACATGCGTATAAAGGGGAAGGGGGTGAGAATATGGAAATAACTCCAGAATTAATTTGCAGGCCAGTGATTCTGCCAGCAGTGTTGTCCTTATGCTGCCTGTTGAGGTCTGTCACTGCCAGGGCTGACTGGGAACCTTGGCCAGATGCCTGTGAGAGTCTCAGTCCAGGCAATGACATTCCACCGCAGACCAGCCCCTTGCCTTGGAACATCAAGATAGACGATGACAAGGTAACCTCGTTGACTTTTTAGACACTATTCTATAAAAACTAGGTTTACTCTTATGCATTTCGTCACACAAAAACAGAAACTCCTGGGTGCCACAGACAATTGTTTTTAAATTTTGATGATGATAGAGAGTAGATCAGTGAGTTCCAACATCTGTGGTGTAAAAAATTCTCCCAGGAATCGGCCCCACGGGGTCTCAAAGTTTCTATATACTGTAACCCTCTTGGAAGCAGTTACACATTAACAAAGGTAAAGGATCATCCGTCGATTTAAATTATACACTACAGATTAAAAGGAGTAGACCCTTTTTTATCTTTGAGTACACAAGGAAAAAGCTGATAGAATCATTGAAACTATTAATCATCTACTGTGTGCATTATTAATTCTTCGTTTCAGTATGTATTAGATACATACAGATAAAAATTGCTATGTGGAAAAACAAAATAGCGGATATCTGGTTAATGAAGCGTTTAAGGGAAAATCTTCATTCCTAAATTATCTCTTCAATTTGACCCACAAAGAACCAATTTTCCAGTTTGGCTGTTTACTTACACGACACTCTGTGTTACATCTCTAATTGGTGTAATTGAAGTTGTTTGTATATAGGTCCAGGCAGATGGATGTGTGTACATCACCCTAGAGGGCAATGAGACCAATGAGTTTGCCGGCTTCATGGTTCAGACTAGGAATGAATCCAACATCCCTGTGGGCAAATTTAGGCCTGCGAATGATGTTAAGCTGATATCATGCTTCGGTGTGGAGAAGGTGAGTGTAGTCTACTACATCTACGAGTTGGTTGGCTATAGTTAAAGTAGAGCATTACAATGTATTTTGACTACCCAACAGAAGATGCGTAAGAGTGAATCTCAATTTATAGTAAATGGTCACAAAGTGCTGACTGGTACCTATGTTAAATCAAACAATTATTGTTGTATTGAAGGGTTAACAGAATTCCAGAGTTAATTATTGTAGGTTTTTTAACACCCAACCCCATTTACATTTGTCATGTGTCATGATTTTGCACCTCTTTCATAGAATTGTGGGTATTTAGATGGCCATAGGTGGTTGAGAGGGGCTTTTTTACAGAAATTTTTCTGTAAACACAATTTTTGAAAACAATGTAGTGTTAATCTTAAGATTGATTGTACTAAGCCTTTTTTTACAATCAATTTCAATTACTGTATATTTAATGAAAATGTTTAACTAACTATCAACAGTTTAAGCCACCTTGTAACTCTTCATAGAGAACACATCTGCAGATGGTGTTCAAAGTAACAGACAGTGGTCATATATTTTATTACTTAATTTTCAGTCTTGATTTGTCTAAAGATTTGTTAAGTGTGCAAATTACTATTTTTCAGAACACTGCAATAAACATAAACTACCTCCCTAAAGAAGAGGTGATTATCAGATGGTTTCCAGAAGAAAAGGACCAAGGTCATACAGTGAGAGTTGTGTGAGTTCAAATACCATTGACTTAAGTACCTAGCTTAAAATAGATGGATCATGAAAATATTGTTACAACCAGCGTGAAGAGAAAATCCACAAAATTGTCTAATTTTTTTCATGTTTGTTTTTGTCATGTTGAATTATTAGAAATTAAACCATAGATAGCTAATTATCTAACAGTAGAGTTGATAAAAATATATTTAAAAAGTGCTGTAGTACATCATGGTGGAAGGAAAATACATGCATTTTCCTTCCACCATGGTAGTACTGTACATTTAACTTTAAAACTAGGGTGAAGTGGGGCAAGTGGAACCAGGTTTTAGCATAGCAACTTTTACTTTATATTGTTCAAGTAATATTATATTTGTAATTGTGCATTTTTCAACCATTACTACAACAATGCTACAACTGGCTTTTACAGACAATAACTTACAAAAATAAAGAATTCTTAAAATTGAAAAAAAATTTTGTTTTGTTGTTAAAGTTGCTCCAATATGGGGACAAGTAGAACCACCCACTTATGAATTATAATATATTGCATTTAGAAGAATGAGAGGCAAGCCGGTCAATAGAAAGATTTTTTGTACCTAGTTATGGGACTTTTTGAATTATGAAAATATCTCTATCAGTTTTTAAGTTACAAACTTTTCTGTAGACCTTTGCGGAAAACTTTGTAAAATCTATGAAACGTAAAATTGCAAAATTTTATAAAAATGGGGTATTTTAACAAAAAAATAGTAGGTAGTACTGTAGGTACTTAAACTGTGTGTGGTTGTAGAACAGTATATCTCTCTGGGCACATGATTCAATTCAAAAAAATGTTTTTTAATAGACGGTGTTTTTAAATCTAGCATTGTTATGGTCAGTTTGTGAAAAAATTTCTTCTCAGCTTCTAGAACTGTTACTAATATTCCACTTGCCCCAGCGCAAAATTTTGGGGGCAAGTGTAACCATGGTTGGAAAATCTAAGTTGTAAGAAATGTAATAACTTTGAAGGGATATTCTGAATCTACATGCAAACAATAGTTAATACACAAAATATTATTACATTTATTTGAAAAATGTAAATATAAAAAAATGTCAGTTTTACCTTTGAATTTACATCAAAAGTTCGTATGTAAGCTTTTATCAAAATTCAAAAAGTACATTTTTTTCATGTTATTTAGCTTTTTAAGGTAAAGAACTTTAAAACAAGGTCCAGAGAACAAAATATGATGGCAACTAAGCAATTCAACTTCTCTCATCAGTTGATTGATAAGATAAGGTTACATTTGCCCCCTGGTTCCACTTACCCCATATTTTTTGGGTTAACTTTATGTTTTCACAAGAGTTAATATCTTTTTAGGATTTAAACATACTATAGCATAAAGCCTCCTCTAACAAAAAGGCAGCAAAGTCCCGCGGTGTTGGTGTGTGGCAAAGTCACACTGGCATGCCTATTGCCATTGTAATAACAGGAATAACATAGTTATTGCACATACACTACATTATAAATTAGTGCAGCTGCCTTTCATCTCGCCACAGCCCTGTATTAGAGGAGAGTATGACCATAGCCCTACTGTACTAGAAGAAATATTTGCAACAAAACTGAGCGAGTTCAGCATGAAAAGCAAATGAGCTACTTGATTGTTTATACTAAGCTGTAAGGTTACTCATGAGATAAAATTTAATATAAAATGTTTCTTTTTACAGAGCCACGATTGCAAGGGATTACCTTGAAAAAGAGTATTGGCTCAAACATGAATCTGTTCCAATAAAAATCCTGCCACCAAAGTATCCATTATTTGTAGATAGATAATAAAATGTTGCTCAAAACAGCTGATTCGTTATTATATTCCATAGATTATAGGAACCCCTTTAGTAATGGCTGAGACCTATATTACATAAGTTTTGTAAGGTTTTTAAACTCCGAGTAAATAGTTAAAACTATTGTAAAATTAAATGTAGTAATTTGGAAACCAATTTAAATACAAGCTTCCAATCATGGTTGTAACATGTCACACAATATGAGGTGCAAGCTGACTTTAGCTTACCCTTATTCTACCTCTTTTGATATTCAGCTAGTAGTTACTTGATTCTGGTCAGAGGGTTAATGAATTAATGATCAAAAGGTCATAATCATTATTATATGATGCGAAGCCACCTGTATGTGCAAATTTAAACCCAAATATGAGTTAAGAATGAAGTGGATGCCTTGTGTAGCTTTGTTTCTAAGATCAGCTGTTTCATTAATCAGCTGACATTAAAACCCCAATAATCAAGGACAGCTGGGTCAAGTTTTGAACCACCAAAAGGCTTAACACTTTAACCGGGATCGAACCAGCGACCTTTTGACTACCTACTAGACAAGCAGTATAACCACTGAGCTACCCACAACCCAGCTAAATATTTTTGCTGTGAGTGATATGGTAAGCCAAGCCTAGTACTTTCACAGGGAAGTAAGATACAGAGGAAAAAAGCTTATGGGACAACCGTGTGCTTTTTAGCTCTTGTATGTTGGGACGGAAATGTACTAGTGGGGACTTTTGGTGACTAAAAATCTATATCTCTGAATAGAACAAAAATACTTTACTCAAACAAAACAGATTTATCATCCAGTAATATTTTAATTTTACATATTAATATTAACATTTTAGAAATAGGCATAAGAATTGGTGTTTGAGAGTGCTTAAATCTGTTATCCAGCCATGACCCGAGACCCGACCCAGTGGCGGTTCCAAGGGAGGCTACAGGGACTAAAGAAAGTTCCGAACTGTATTTAGAGGATATAGCCATAGCCTACAGTATGGTTAGAAATTTATGAATGCAATCGGCATAGTTTAAATTCGTAAATGTCTCCATTTATTACTCATCTGTGGCTTATAGGATTACTGTATTTGCTCTGGTATGTTGTGTTGGAAATATTTTAATGAGCAAGGAAGAGCCGGGACTGGTGAGCACTGTCTGGAAATTGCACAGGGCGCATGGCGTGTGGGCGAGGGGGTGGGGTTGTGTTGGACTTGGTGCTAGACACCACTTATAGGTGTACCATTAGGCGGTTCCTCTTTATCTTACTTCTATGTGGTACTTGTCATTGCTCTGCATTCAATTACTCAAATTGTCCAGATATCATATTGGGTATGAAGACAATTACTTGGAAACTGCAATGATTACTGCCGAGTGCTGACTACCTGTTAGAAACACTAGTTTATATAAATAGGCCTACATACTTGTGTGGACCTAAGATAACAATAAAAGTGACAAAAATTTGACAGTGTTTTTATTTTAAACTTCATTGGACATGAGAAACTGGGTTGGCAATCTTATGATGAGCAGATTTCTAAATACAAAGGTAGAATCAGAGATCAAGTGGATTTGAAAATCAAATATATAAAATTATTTTGTTGTGGTGAGCACAAACTCAAGAAATGCCATAATCATTCAGCTTTTTCTACATTTAACTACTAATAACGAACAGGAGAATATTAGTTTGATAACAGTTTTGTATTTACAGTTACATTATATTCTTACTATGACTAAATTGTATAATTTTATTTTTAAAAAATGTCATCAAACAATATTACTACAATATTTTTAAGGCAAAGGGTTATGACAAAAACAATAACCTACCTTTATACAGTTTTTTAATAAATATAAAAATTTAATAAATACAAGAATAGAAAGGTTATGTCCTTTACTGTCAAATAATATTACGTAAAATTAGGTTGCGCAATCAATAAAATTGTTAACTTAAATAACCGCCAAGGGGAATTTTGGGATATCACAAAGGAGTCTAAAAACAGAAATAAACCACTGATTGATGAGCTTCAATTTGGAAAGATTTGATCTTTATTTCCGAAATGTCTTCTCCACTGATGAACGGGAGAAATCCCTGTAAATACAACACAATTGTAATATAAAAATATACACTAGTATACAAACCATTTCCTTATAACAAAGCAAGAGGTCAAGGCAATATAGAACAAGCGTTTGTTTATTATGTTTATTTATATTAAATAATATACAAAAAACCGTAGCCACTAAAACCACTTCTAAAGGTTTTCGTCTACAACGTTTTTGATTGAAAAACCCCTTCCAAAGACCAACTAAACTTTTTCTTAAACAACAAAATGTAAGCGTAGGTATTAATCTAAATGAAGAAAAGAACTCAAAATATAAATTATTAGGGAGAGACAATGGTGATTTTGAAGTAATTGAAAGATCTGTAACATCAAAAAAATGTAGCTTTAAGATCGCCAGTTTGGAATAATAAAACATAACGTAATGTATAATAAACATAGGATACCACTCATGTACCATCATGTAAAGCATAATACACATTAACAATAAACAATACACCTATTAACACCGAATAATGCCTCCAAGGAGACTTAGTTGAGGATTGACGAATCAAATCACTCAGTATTGAGGTTAGGGCACCCCTAACCTTTCAAGTCACTTTTCAGAAATTATGGATAAGAGCAACCACTTTCTCAGTAGAATCAAGAGCGCATCTTAAGCAGGCCGATCAAAAATACACGTCACAATATAACACGGCGCGATCCGATACTCACACCATAATCTTGGCTAGGTCACTAGATTAGATCGGCAACATTCATCGGCATTTCAACTATCGTAGTGTTATAAAATTGTTCAATATCGTTTAGTACACGTTTGTCTTGCTCTGTGACGAAGTTAATGGCAACACCTTTCCTGCCGAAACGTCCACCTCGGCCAATCCTGAAACAACATAATTACGTTATTAGCAAATTAATTATAATATTTGGTTAGGCAAAATACATTCTGGTTGGACAGTAGCTTAACTAGTTCAATAAGGCAGCTTGCTCCATATGCATAAATCACATATCAATAGTAAGGTACTGTTCACAACTAAAATAGAAAACTAGCAGAGAACACACTAATTCTGTGTACAGACTTAAAACTAAATTTTGTTTGGAGATTTTCGGCACACCAATTGAAATATCATTTTGATGTTTCCTGTCTCCAGATTTACTGTACCCTGAACAATGGCACTTCCTTGCTCATAGTAGAACAAGAAGTATGGCGGTGCAGGGAAGTAAATTTACATTACTTAAGAAATAACAAAGTTAACATGCTGTAATAAAACATATTATGCTAATATGGTTTAAAATATACCTACTAAAGGCTTTGACTATACTTATAAAAGTAGTATACAATGTTATACCTTTTTAAGCTAGACCCTTTAAGGATATGGCTCGACAGAATTTTTAAAACCTTAAGTCCTCCAAAGATTAAAGCACTGAGTATTTTAACTCATTTTCAATTCTGTGATTAATTGTTTGAGGATTTTCGGCACACCAATTTAACGATAATTTGATGTTTCCTGTCCACAAATTTACTATTCCCTGAACATTGGCACTTATATGTGCATTGTGGCACACAAAGTATGGCGGTGCAGGGAAAACTAAAATACAAAGGCTTACTTTGCTATAAAGATACAAGTACAAGAGACTAGAATTTTTTGAACGAGAATCTTGCACAAACAATGGTGCAGTAGTCGAGTTAAGATAGTAAAGTTTTCGTTTTCGTTTTGAGATTTATTGGGGTTTGTATCGGGTATTCAAATGAAACTCCAATGTATGACAGTTGACATAGGTTTTGCCAATGGGAAAACTATTCACTTTTTGGTTGATTACTACAATTTAAAATTGGGGACGACCTCAAATTCCATGTGCCAGCCTTCATTAACAGTAATTTTTAAATGTTTGCAGATTTTCGGCACACCAATTTAAAAATATTTTGATGTTTCCTGTCTGCATGTTTACTATTCCCTGAACATTGGCACTTATATGTGCATTGTGGCACAAAAAGTATGGCGGTGCAGGGAAGACTCTAATACATTGGCTATGGGTTTTAAATAGTCACCCTGATTCTGTCAAACTGGTTAGGTTGGCTATAGTTAATTCTGAATTAAGCAAGATTTAAAATTTATCAACTTATTGAGGGGTAAATCAGTTTGTATACAATTCGTAATACAGTAAAAGCAATATTTACATGCCAAGAATTAATTAAATAAGAACGCCTTCAAAAAAGGAAATGCAACAAGGCGCTCCTGTATTGCGGGTATTGAATTGATTTTCTGCAGGCGTTAATTTTGATGCATCGCACAACTCCAATAGCACAGTTTTTCCCAATCTGGCTGTAATGGAGGGTAACGATGATGTCCCAGTCTGTGATTGCGGGAGGTAATAATGATGCGTTATCAGGGATTTTAGTTAAGATGACATGGAGATAGAGCAGTGGAATTGGTTTGTTATTATTGACGATTGCTACAATTACTGTACCTGTGAATGTAGTTCTCTCGGTTTGAAGGCAAGTCGTAGTTGATGACCAACGACACTTGCTGGACATCGATACCTCTAGCCAAGAGGTCAGTGGTAATCAGAACTCTGCTAGAGCCAGTACGGAACTGACGCATGATCAAGTCTCGCTCTCGCTGCTCCATGTCTCCGTGCTGTAGAAACAATGGCTAGTTAGAAGCAGTTTGGTTTACAATTATGTTTAGGCTACGTAATACTTCCTTAAAAAGTTTTTGCTGTGATTGCGGGACACTGTGATTAACTCCACACAGCCAAGGCAAATAGTCACGTTATCACCCAATAACATTACCACCGATAGGCAATGGAACGGTCAGATTAAACGAGGAGTCTGACTATCTGAGGTCGGATTTTAGTGGGATTCTACTGTAGTTTATGTTACAAATAATTATGTTAAATGTAATTTAGGATATTTTGACACTATTCAATGTAGGCCTATACCTATCACTTACAGATTATAAATAAGGGTGTAGCATAGAGCACAAGGGCCTAGATTTTTTAGGATTTTTTGAGAGGATAGTTTGGACTCTTTCCCATTCAGGTAAGCCTGCTATCCTCTCAAAAAATCCTAAAAGATTATAAATAAGGATATTTTGATTGGATTTGATTTGAATGTCTGCAAATTTTCGGCACACCAAACGAAATGTCACTTGATGTTTCCTGTTTATATGGTCACTATACCCTGAACATTGGCACTTCTCTGTCCATCGTGGTACATGAAGTATGGCGGTGCAGGGAAATTTGTATATACAAGTATATTCCGTTGTATAAGATAATATTTACTACCAATAAAAATATCTTATAGCCTATGGCATTGTTTATAATCATAAATAGTAAAGTCCTAAGTCAATTGGATTGGATATACTTGCCATTGAGTTATTTATTAACTTATGACAGTTACATATCTATCTGTTTTAAGGGTATGGGGGTCTAAAATGATAAATTTTTAATATGTCTACATAATACTTATAGCTTTAGTTAAAACTCAATGATAGTATTTGTAGATTTTCGGCACACCAATAAAAAAATAAATTGATGTTTCCTGTCTACATATTTAATGTACCCTGAACATTGGCACTTCTTTGTTCATATGTAACACGAAGTATGGCGGTGCAGGGAGAATTGTTAACAACTTAGGCCTAAATGAAGTGATATTATTATAACATTAGTCCAAAATTAGCCTCCAATAAATAAGAATTTTCATTTATTCAAAAGACTGTATCTACAATTTTAAACTCGTAACTTATTTTTAAGATTTCTACCATAGATAGGCTACTATGAGGGCTTTCAACGTATTAGCAAGGACAAAACCTCCAAAACAGTTTGAATCAGTGGTAAGGAAGCACTTAAGACAAAACCAAGAAATCATCCTGTCTCCATTTTCCAAAAATAAATCTTAGAAATGTGACAGTTTATTAGCCTAGACACTACTCACCATGGCGGAAACAGTGAAGTCTCGGGTGTGCATGTTTTCTGTCAGCCAATCTACCTTGCGCCTGGTGTTGCAGAATATTACAGCTTGCGTAATGCTAAGAGTGTCATACAAGTCACAGAGGGTGTCAAGTTTCCAGTCCTCTTTATCAACAAAGACGAAGAACTGTTTAATACCTGAAATAATGTTAAGAATTCAAGATTAGGGATTGACATGTGGACTAGTGATAAACACTTAATTCACTTGGAATTCACACAAGAAAATTTAACTAAAAACGAAAGCAAGAATTAATTGACAAATGGTTCTTCATATACTAAACTAAAATATTTAATAGACTTAAATCAGTACAGTAAGTACCCCCGTTGCGTTTAGTGTTCTCATAATACAAATTTCGGGTTTAATTTTCCTCAAGAGTAGGGTGCCATGATAACTGAGATAATGCAATGTTACAAATATGCTGAGGAATTGTGGCTGTCAAAGACATCAGTTAGCTATTATTTACCGTGCTGTCTACTGTGGCATTAGAGTGATGATCAGTTTAAATAGCCTAATTGACAAGCTTTGCTGCACATTCTTCCTGAAATACTTATCCATCACATTCATAGCTTTTTTTATGGTATGCAAAAAGTACTTTATTTAGTTAAAAAAATGACAAATGATCAAAGTATTTACCTTCTAGGGTCAACTCCTCTTTCTTGACAAGGATCCTAATAGGTTCTCTCATGAAGCACTTGCTCACGTCCAACACCTCAATCGGCATGGTGGCAGATAGCAAGATGACCTGTAAATATGGTTAAGGTTAACTATAAAATGTATTGTTTTTAAACTAGGCCTAGATTCTTGCAAACTACTAACTGTGTTCTCAATCTTATGTAGGTATTTCACTATAAATTTAAAAGAGATAAAACATATGAATAATCAATTCAGCACAAATTATATTAAAATACTTTAAGAAAAATGAATGCATAAAACATTCATCTTAATGTCTTTGGTCTTAGACAATCAAAACAATAAAAGTTTAAACAATTTTATCAGAAGGCCTAAAATGTAGGGCAAACTCTTTTGTCCAATGATTAAAACATGTTATTACTTAAACTACAATAACTATCTTTAAAAAACTTAAACTGTTTTGAGTTAATTACTAACCTGTACTTCTGAACCCAGAGTCCTGAAGACATCGTGAATTTGGTCTTTAAACCCTCTTGAAAGCATTTCGTCGGCTTCATCCAAGACAAAAATTTTGATACTACTGGTCCCTGTGAACAAGATTGAACAATTACAAAACAGAAGTTCATTTGAACTAGCCAAACTTAAGAGGTTTAGTAGTGACATGTTTACATGTTTGATGATCATGTGTTCAAACTTACATTTAGACAAATGGATCCAAATAGGCCAAATTATTATGATCATTGTCAAAATACTTCATTATGATAATAATCATATTTAGTACTTGTGCGCAACAAGCCATGCCCTACTTCAATGTTCAGATTTTTTCCTACCCCATTAACAATAGTAGCCGATTTCATAATTAAAAGCACTCCAGTTGCATTTAAACACCTTTAAAATTTAAATTTCCCTTTGTGGATATGGAAAGAACATATAATAACCTTTGTAATATTATTACAAAGGTTAGGCCTACTAAAAACCAATTACCGATTTTACTTGACAGTTTATATTTTGATCACATAAATTTCATTAGTACTAGCACATTGCGCTGCGGCTTCGTCACCAATGTGACAAAATATGTGACAAATGTTTACATTACCTAAGATGTGTGTAGATGTCAAGTCCGAACAAGCCTTCATCAGGGGCGGGAAGAGCAATGTAAGATTCCGTGGGTTATTTTGGTACGGCCATTAATGTTAGAAGGATGGTGTTTGATCGCATTTAGAGTTTATGTTTATAATATTGTACTAGTGTATGGTTCACTTCATTTGTGGTTTCATGATATTGTTTGTTAGTGTATTTGGGTATTTCACATTTGCATTTTACAATACTGTGGACCTGTTATTAATTTATATCAGTGCTGCTCCCTGTGGTTTTCTTGTAAAACTACGCCATCACCGGCTGGAACACAGTAGGCCTACATGCTACACTGTGGCTCTCTAATTGGATTAAATGGAATTTTAGAATGTCTGTGCACTTATCCACGCAGTGCATTGGCTGTTCTGGATCCTGATAGTGGCCGGTAATCACGAAACCACAGCGAATGAGTGTGTAGGCCTCCAACAACCTCTGTCAAGATCAGTATTGATTATACTCACTTAACGCCCTTCGGTTGATCATGTCGTAGACTCGACCGGGTGTTCCCACAACAACATGAACTCCCATCTCAAGTTTCCTGATGTCCTCTCGTACGTTCGTGCCACCAATGCAGGCATGACACATGGCATTCATAAAATCTCCCAGAGCAATCACCACCTTTTGGATCTGAAATTAAAACTCAATTATAATCAATAGTTTCAAGATATAGCCTAGTGCAAAGACATCCTAGTAAATTGATAAATTGCCCATTCTAAAATACAAAATGGCCTGATGTGTAACAGTAAGCAAAAGAAATTAAGTTCAAAACAGAAAAGATAATGGGCATTTAAATAGCCTCCTCTAATACAAGGCTGTGGTGTTGGTGTGTTGGAACGTAAGTTAGCACCGGCGGCCTACATTATCATTGCACGGATTATGAATTAGTGCTGTTTAGGTAGGCCTGGTCTGCCATTTTGTCTTGCTGCGGACTTGATTTTAAAAATATAGCAAATATTAGGTTCTGCAACTTTATAAGACATATTTCAAGAATAAATACATTAATTCAGTTTTGATTCCTCAGAACATGCACCATTATCATGAAAGTATACTTAGTTATCAAGTGTAACAAGTGTAAGTAATTGTAAATTACCTGTTGGGCCAACTCTCGGGTGGGAGCAAGGATGAGAGCTTGACACTCCCTAATTGAGGTGTCAATCTGTTGGAGAATGGATATGGAAAATGTAGCAGTCTTACCAGTACCTGGAAAAATATCAAAATTAGGATCACTAGGAATAAAACCTTACAAGTTTTCACCATTAAGTCGGTTTAATAAAGCGATGTGCAAGGGGCTTTATCTTCAAGCCTGCCTATGAGCTCGATAACTTAATGCCAAGACAGAAAATTGAGCTCAAGCCGAGCTTTGAATGCTCCGTGAAATCACGTCACCGAAAAATTCACGCTTTTGTTGGGATGGCGAGTGAGGACAATAATAGTTTTTGCAGGAGACGATGTTAATGTCCACACAACCACAGAAGAGGTTTCGGATTTTGCCATGATTGCGGACAATGATGATTATGTCCAAACTATGGGAGTTGTTGTAAGGATACAATTATGGCGTCATCACGACGGGTTAAGATGTTCAGGATATTGCAGCAATTGCGGAAGACAATGTTGGGGTCTAATCAGAGTTGGTATTAAACTTGGAAAGTAAAATTCCCTGAATATCGATTAATCAAAATTAAGAAATATCAGAAAAAATGTAAATATTTATTATTTTTGCTTTTCTATTTTCTAAATGTATAATCTAGTTTCTAAACGTAAACCACAAGGAAGCCAAGTTTTGCTATACAATGCTAAATAATGATCAGTAACAAAAATGGTTTAAATATTAATTATTAACTGTGTACTAGTAACCATCTTTAATAGGTAAGTGATAAAGATAAGGACCTAAATTTAGCACTAGAATAAATGGCAGGCTTCCGCAAAAAAAGGTGGATTTTTAAAGTAACAACAGTTGACGTACAACATTTCAAGATACTTGCACATATTTTTTTGAAATTACCCTTCATTATGTGGATGTAGGCTTTAGATTGAAACTAATTAAAGTTGATTGATAGTTTTTTTTAAATTTAATTATCAGCTTACAGTAGAGTTTGGATTGGACTTTGAAATGTGGAATGATTCTTTTATCAAGTAGTGATACTGGCGAATTATGTTTTTTTTAGCAAATTTCCCTATAGGGAATAAGCTATTTTTTTTTTTTTTTTTTTAGCAGTATGTTGACATTTGCAATATCAATAGTCAGACTAAGAAAGAATAGTAGGAGGTAGTAAACTTTTATTTAGCCTGTAGAAAGCTGGCACAAATCCCAAGAGCTAAAAATAACTGGTAATCTTAATATTTAGCAGCCAGGGATTGAAATTCTTAAATGGAACTTACCGAAATCAATCTAGTATAAGCTAACAGACAGGGCCTGCAGGTTTAGTGTTAAGTGAAAGTAAAACTACTATTATTATTGTTTACAAAATTCATTTTACTATTTATCTTTTGTATTTAATTTGAGGTGTTATTACAAACCTTCAGGAAGTTGAAGATCCAAGATTTAAAATTTAAAAATAAAACTCATTACAGTTTTCAAATATTTTGCTTGAAGAGTTATTAGGTTTTAAGCTTACTTCTTGTGCTATCTACAGTACAGTTTTATTAATTCTGTGTAGACAACATATTTCATTAACTCTTCTAATTTTTGTTTAACCAAATTGTTATTTCTCTATTTGGAATTTTACAAAAGAACTACAAACTTAGTCTAGGGTCTACAACAACCGCCATATACAAAGAACAGGTTTTTGGGACTTTTCTATTTAACAAAACCTATTCAATGTTACTTAGGCCTAACTTGTATTCCAGTCAAATATAAACAAAATAGGCCTAAGCAACAGTTTCCTGAAGCAGCATTATTGTAAAATTAATTTACGTCACAGAAAAGTGTAATGAAATATTTATATATTAGGTTTAAGTTACTTCAAGACACAAATTTGTCAGCTGACTTAAGTCGCTAGTTTTGTTTCTACAGTAAAATAATTTAATTAACAGCACAACTCCCAGCTACTATAGCAGTGGGAGTAACTATGATATTCTATAGAAATAAGTAACAAAAGTTACAATAACTTTTGGACCAAAATTGTTACAGCGGGGGTTGCACTATTTTTGTTTAGAATTATAAGGACCATAACGTCCATAACACATTAATTTTAATAAAAATTGGCTATTTTCCTTAAATCCTATATTTTGTTATTTTAAATAGGGTATTTATGGGAAATAACATAAGTTACACAATAAATTTTGAGTCATACTTTTTACAGAAATGGGATTTGTACCATTTTGTTCAATAATGGACTTTTTTCTAAAATCCATTTTTTTTTTTATAACATAAGTTATAATAACGAACTTTAGGCTAATTTTTACAGAGAAATAGAATTTATACCCTTTAGTCAGGAATTTAGTGGGCTATAATATACTAATTACATTGCTATGGGGTCAGTCCATATCAAATCAACACACTTTTAACATATTTTTTACCTTACCATCTTAGATTTTGATGAAATTTGGTATATAGGTTACCTTTATGAAGACTAAAAAAAATACCAAATTTCAGCTCAATATCTCAACCCGTTCCCAAAATACGGCCATTTGAAATTTTCAAAAAACGGTCAAAATCGCGCTGCGGTAAAACTTTAAAATAGTCATAACTCTTCTCATGTTTAAGCTAGAAACATGGGAGAGGTGTCATTGTTTAGCCCTTTTTATGCCCTTTCTAATGATATGCAACACATAATAGGTTATGAAAACAAAAATTTTGTCAAATTCAAAAATAAATTTTCAAAATAAAATATTTTGAAAAACACATATTTTATTTTTTTCAAAAAATTATTTTAAGTTTGTCATATTATCACTAATGTGTACACCAAGTTTGGTTATGGGATTGCAATGGGTTCATGGTTAAAATAATGTTTTATTAGTGGTGGTTTTTACTACATCAACGCAATTTAGGTTAAAATAAAATAATAATCTCATTAAAAAAATCTGGGTGGATAAAGATCCATAGGAAAATAGGTATAATATCAATGTTACCAGTTATTAACTGATTGAAATTAACTAACTGGAAAAACCTACAGTATATCCCTTGTAAATATTCTTAAAATAATAACATGATAAAAAAATGGATTTTATAAAATTAGCTTAAGGCGTATTTGGATATATTTTTTTGCTTCCGACATTTTTCATTTATATTAATTCATATATTTAATTGCAAGCTGAGTAATACTGTTTCCAGCAATTGTGCCATTATCATCTCTTGTTTCTACCTGTAGGAAGTTTTCATGTCTCTACTTGTTTTTCAAGTTGATACAAGCTCAAGTCCACTAGCACTACAGAGTTTGTTCAGTTTGCATTTAAAGTCTGTGGTGCACACATATCACAAGAGATGATAATGGCACAATTGCTGGGAACAGTATTACTCAGCTTGCAATTAAATATATGAATTAATATAAATGAAAAATGTCGGAAGCAAAAAAATATATCCAAATACGCCTTAAGCTAATTTTATAAAATTCATTTTTAGCGAATTTCCCATATAGGAAATAAGCTATTACCGTAGGTCTCATGATAAGACCTAGACCCGGGACCGATATACTTTTTCGTTTTGAGGTCCCCAGAGGCCAAAAACACCATCCGTTCAAATTCATATATATATATATTTATATATGTGTCCGTTAGCGTGATAACTCGAGCAAAATTGATCCGATTTTGATGAAATTTGGTACAAACGTGTAAACCTACATTTATTCGAACGAGTTCGCGAACCAGCATAATCGGACCATGGGATCAGGGGTTTATGGGGGGTTTTAAAATGGGGTAAAAATGGGTTTTTCTCATTTTTGACCTAAAAACTTTAAATTTCTAAATTTCTCTCTATACCAGTTTGAAGAGCTTTAAAAAACAAATAATTTAGTATATTGAAGTGTTTTTGAATGTTCATTGACTACGGAGAAAATTAAAAAAATTGTAAATTTAAAATTCCCATGTTATTTTTATGGAGAATAAATAAACTGCTCTAGTTTGCTTGTTTATGGATATATTTTAATCAAATTTGGCAATTTGGTTTATTTCATACTAAGCTATCAATATTTCAATTGAAAAAACACACCTCAACATCTTCCCCGTAGCAGCAAACCTTACTAGGCTACTCACTAAAATTAATGTTATTTAAATAGGAAATAAATCTGAAAATTTATAGGGAATATTTTAGTAGAAATCAAGCCGGGTAAATGGAAGTTTGCTTAGTATGCAGGTTTGCTGCGACGGGGGTATATATATATATATATATATATATGTGTGTCCGTTAGCGCAATAACTCGAGCAAAAATGATCCGATTTTGATGAAATTTGGTACAAACGTGTAAACCTAAGTTTATTCGAACGAGTTCGCGAACCAGCATGATCGGACCATGGGAACGGGGGTTTATGGGGGCTTTTATGGGGTAAAAATGGGTTTTCCCCATTTTTGACCCAAAAAACATAAAATTTTGCAATTTCTTTTTAAACTATTTTGTAGAGCTTAAAAAAACAAATAATTTAGTATATTGAAGCGTTATAATGCGCCTAATAGTTACGGAAAAAATTCCAAAAAATTGTAAATTTAAAATTTCTATGTTATTCTTATGGAGAATAAGTAGGCCTACTGTTGTAGTTTGCTTGTTTATTAACATATTTTGCCCAAATTTGGAAAATGTTTTTATTTCTTACCAACTATTAACATTTTACATAAAAAACACTTTTACCCTCCCTGTTGCAGCAAACCTAAGTATGTTTTAAACTGATTCTTTTTAAATAGGGAATAAATGTGATATTTTTAAGGAGACATTTTAGTGTAAATCCATTCAGGGAAATGGAAATTCGCTTAGTCTGCAGATTTGCTGCGGCGGGGGTATTTTATCATGTTATTATTTTAAGAATATTTACAAGGGATGGATATACTTTGTAGGTTTTTCCAGTTAGTTAATTTCAATTAGTTAATAACTGGTAACATTGATATTATACCTATTTTCCTATGGATCTTTATCCACCCAGATTTTTTTAATGAGATTTTTATTTTATTTTAACCTAAATTGCGTTGATGTAGTAAAAACCACCACTAATAAAACATTATTTTAACCATGAACCCATTGCAATCCCATAGCCAAACTTGGTGTACACATTAGGGATAATATAACCAACTTAATATATTTTTTTGAAAAAAATAAAATATGTGTTTTTCAAATATTTGATTTCGAAAATTTATTTTTGAATTTGACAAAATTTTTGTTTTCATAACCTATTATGTGTTGTATATCATTAGAAAGGGCATAAAAAGGGCTAAACAATGACACCTCTCCCATGTTTCTAGCTTAAACAGGAGAAGAGTTATGACTATTTTAAAGTTTTACCGCAGCGCGATTTTGACCGTTTTTTGAAAATTTCAAATGGCCGTATTTTGGGAACGGGTTGAGATATTGAGCTGAAATTTGGTATTTTGTTTAGTCTTCATAAAGGTAACCTATATACCAAATTTCATCAAAATCTAAGATGGTGAGGTAAAATAGGTGTGTTGATTTGACATGGACTGACCCTATGACATACTAAATCACCATTTAAGTAAGTCTTGAAAAAATAAAAAAATAAAAACTCCTGGAGATATAATGGATTATTATCTACGTACCAAATTTCATCAAAATCGGACGACAGGTGTGGTCTGTAGCTCTGTACATATCCACACACAGACATCACTTCGAAAACCACTTCCTCTTTGGGTCAAGGGAGACCCAAAACCGATATATCCACTCAAATCACAAAAATGTTGACGAAACCAATACTTTCTCTATATAGGCCTACTATGTATATGGGGAAAATAAGACTTTAAACAGCTAATCATTAAACAATTATTTTGTAGTACCCTAGGCATAGCCTACTATTATTTAGTATGCCTACATATCAAATAAGTTATAAAAAAATAAAATTAATACATTTTTGGGGACAACATGAACTAAGAAATATTTTGCATTTTTTCCTGGAGATCAGGGATATCCGGGAGCTTTCTGAAAGCATACTCTAACAAAACTATATCTAACCTGATTGCGCTTGAGCGATGACATCATGACCTTTGACACATGGCATGATGGCCCTCTGTTGAATAGCAGAAGGCTTCTCAAAACCATATGCATAGATCCCTCTTAAGAGTTCTTCTTTGAGATTCATGTCGTCAAAGTTATCCACCACCTGTAGGTATAATACACTCGTTTGTAAAATCAATACACTTCATTTACGGTTCAAAATTAACATAGCAATCATAAGATTCTAAAAGAGAGGATGTATTTTACAATAGCAAATTGAACAGCAACTAAAATTTCACTTATAGGCACACAGTATGAACACTTCCTACAACCTTCCTACTACACTTCCTACTACACACAACACTTCCTACTATGGGTTATGTTAGGGCCTGCCTATGTAGACTTTTTCCTTTGTTATAGAAGGTATTTTTTTACACTTTTGTTTGCTTTATTTCTACAGTTTAATTTTTGTTTTGTTACCTAGATAGTAATGTTTGCTGTATTATTTTTAAGTAAAAAAAATACAATGTACTTATGTAGGCCTATAATTAATGGGAAATAAAATATTATTTCATTTCATTTCTCACGCATCAGGGTCCAGCCTTTTTACCTGGCTGACTTAGCCCTCTAGTACACTCTAAAACTTTTTTTTAAATTTTGTTCTGGACGTTTATGGTTTTGTAATTTTTTAAATCTCCTAATTTATACAATAAAAATGAGTCTAAACACGATACCATTATATGGTGTTAAAGGAATAACTTTGAATCTTAAAATTTCAATAACTGTGTACGTTTTACAGGGTGTCTAGTTTATTTCCATTATAAAATTCAAGACTAATTCCAGACTTTTCAAGACTAATTCCAGATTTTTCAAGACTAGTTTTTTCAACAATTAGTGGGTGTTGATACCAAAATGTATCGATTCTCGATTCTTGATACCGATACCAATTTGTATAGCTTAACCAAATTTTCTGAATAATACTACACCAACCCCTGTCTTTGTCATAAAGTAGTATTTATGATAATGTGGTGTTTTCAAGTAAAGAAATAATGCAGCAATAAAAAGTTCTAACTAGCAAATTTGGTTTTTTTTATCATGAAATCTTCCACGTACCGTACGTTTAGACATCATCATTGACTGCAGCAGTTACAGAAACGTGATCGTCGTCGTCCGCGATCACGGCAAAATCATGAACATTTCCCGCGGCCTTGTAGACATCAATGACATCATCGTCGTCTCCCGAGGTCTCAGAAACGTCATCGTCATCGTCCGCGATCGCGGCAAAATCATGAACATTTCCCGCGGCCGAGCAGATATCATCGTCGTCTCCCGCGGTCACGGAAACGTCATCGTCATCTCCCACGGTCACAGAAACGTCATCGTCGTCGTCCGCGATCGCGGCAAAATCATGAACATTTCCCGCGGCTGTTTAGACATCACCGTCATCTCCCGCAGTCACCGAAACGGTATCGTCATCGTCTGCGATCACGGCAAAATCATGGACATTTCCCGCGGCCGTGTAGACATCATCGTCGTCTCCCGCGGTCACAGAAACGTCATCGTCATCTCCCGCGGTCACGGAAACGTCATCTTCGTCGTCCCCGATCGTGACAAAATCATAAACATTTCCCGCGGCCGAGCAGATATCATCGTCGTCTCCCGCGGTCACGGAAACGTCATCGTCGTCGTCCGCGATCGCGGCAAAATCATTAACATTTCCCGCGGCTGTTTCGACATCACCGTCATCTCCCGCGGTCACGGAAACGTTATCGTCATCGTCCGCGATCACGGAAAAATCATGAACATTTCCCGCAGCCGTGTAGACATCATCGTCGTCTCCCGCGGTCACGGAAACGTCATCGTCATCTCCCGCGGTCACGGAAACATCATCGTCGTCGTCCGCGATCGTGACAAAATCATGAACATTTCCCGCGGCCGAGCAGATATCATCGTCGTCTCCCGCGGTCACGGAAACGCCATCGTCGTCGTCCACGATCGCGGCAAAATCATGAACATTTCCCGCGGCTGTTTAGACATTACCGTCATCTCCCGCGGTCACGGAAACGCTATCGTCGTCGTCCCCGATCACGGCAAAATCATGAACCTTTCCCGCGGCCGTGTAGGCATCATTGTTGTCTCCCGCGGTCACGGAAACGTCATCGTAGTCTCCCGCTGTCACAGAAACGTCATCGTCGTCTCTCGTGGTTTCGGAAACGTCATCGTCGTCGTCCACTATCGCGGCAAAATCGTGAACATTTCCCGAGGCCGTGTAGACATCATCATTGGCTTTTGAGGTTACGTAAACGCAAGACGACAATCGGGGCAAAATCATGAAAATTCCCGACTTTGAAATCAAATTTAAGACTAAATCCCGACTTTTCAAGACCATTTTGAAATTCAATACTAATTCCCGACTTTCCCGACTACTAGACACCCTGGTTTTATTTTGGACTGGTTAATTTCTAATCTGAATCTTCCGTAAATATACATTCACTACAATTTTTTTTTTATAAATTGGCTCAAAGTTGTTAGAACCATAAAATTCCTCGAACATAATGATAATAGTTTATATTCACCGAAAACCCCCGAATAATACCACTTTCAGGCATAATTCTCGATTTTCCCGGAATTTCCCGGTCCCTGACAACCCTGTCACAACCCTGTCACCTGAACTTGGCACTAGAAATTCAACAAATCTCCTGTTAGGGAATGTAAAGTTTAAAGACCTGTTAAGGAAAGTTCTTTTATCAATAAAAACAGGGTTTAAAATAAGTTTATGTTGATAAGTTTATCAACATAAACGTATTTAAGTCAGGCCCAGTTTTTTCCGTGACTTTTGGAATCTTAAAATAAAAATCTGTTACTTTTCAGAGTCATCTGTGACCTCGTTGTAAAATCAGTGACTTGCATGACTTCAGTGACACCCTGACCAGACACCAGTGACCACTTCACACCACTTCAGTGACTAGACATCCTGATTAGGCCTAAGTTTTTAAAAGCATCACTTACGTACAAGGTTCAAGGTAACATAGTAAATTAGTAACACAACAACATTGCTGTAGTTGGTTACCAAACCAAGGGGCCCTAACAAATGGTTTCTTACAAACAAATGAAAGTAGGTCCCTATTTTCAAACATTCTCACCTCCTCCCAGTTTGACTCGATGATGCCATCAGGCTCCATGCCTGGAGGTCCATCATACATTGGCTTCTCATCTCCCGGGCCGTTCTTAGGATCTCCGGTCCACTCTTCACCCCTGCAACAAAACAAGTTAAGCTTAGAATCGAAGCAGTCAACTGTTGTGAATTATTAATGAGAAACCCTTTTAGTTAGAACTTGAGACTAGAGGGACAAGATAGATTTAAGCAACTTAGGCCGGAAGCTGAGACAAAGAAGATGACAAGTTTTAAGGTTGCTGGTTCGATTACAAGAATGATTCTTTTTCTTCACACCAGTGGCATTTTCATTTTAAAAGAGGTCAACTTCAGAATTAAGTTTAGTGGGTGTGCCACAAATTGAACCCGTCCCTTCCGCACCTAAGTCCGAGACGCTAACCAATAGGCCAACAACACACCCAAATTCTTGATTAAAAGTTAACTTAGATGTGAGTCATTTTGGCTATGAATTAATGGTGCCATCTGACATAAGATCTACTAATAGATCCTGAATAGCAGCAAGACCAGGGTTTGGACCATTCCCTTACAAAAGACAAAAAATACCTAGCGGCTAGTTAACAAACAAAAAGCATTCTGTTAGTGATGGATAAGACCCCGAAACTTCAACATTTTTTCGAGATTATTTTTTTGAAGCGCCGGAAACGGGAGAATTTCATGACGAGATTGTGGGCCTAACTATGTATTATTTTTTTTTTTAGCTAGTTAGCTAATAAATTGTCCCTAAACTATAGTTTCTTTTCTTATTCACTCCTTTTCCAACCTCAAAATTGTTGTTGTTTATCCTCTATCCTGTAATCTAGTGAGTATGAGTAGCCTACTCTGAGGGGGTAATGGGCGATTTGCGACCGATTAGCTCAATTTGAACAAATCCCAGGGTGAAGAAGCTCTTAAATATGTCGACTCTTATGCATTTCGTAATATGCAAACTCCTAGACGGTTGAAGCAATTATTTTCAAATTCTGCATGGCGATGAAGACCATATCAGTGAGTGCTAACATCTATATGGCGTTAAAAAATTCTCAACCTATGGCGACGCAGTGTTCTCGTATGCACTGATTGTGCTGCTTCTAATGTTAATGGCCAAACATTTCACTCAGCACTAAGATTGAATATAGCCTACAACATTTTAATTAGGTAGCCTAACTACAGGGGAAAATAAACTAAATCTTCAGATTTTGTTCTAAAAGTTTATGTTGTAGTTTGCAATGCAATAGCTATGTGTGGGCAGAGGCTACCAGCAATGATCGACAAACGCTTATCATACGTCAAGCGAAACCTGACGACCAAGATTAGGCTTAACCCTCCAAGTGTCCATAGTTTAGGCCTTAATGTCCACCTATCTTTGGCGCATTTGCAAGGTTTTATTAAAACGGATCTGAGAAGCTTAAAACAATGTTAATTCTAATGTTCTATATACCATTTTGTTTGGAAAATCATGGGCTTCAATATTATATATAAAACATAAGGAACATTTAAAAAAAAAAATTTTTTTAGGTAAAAAAAATATAATTTTGAAAATTTTCAAAAAAAAAATAAGTTCGCGCTCAATGAAATTGTATAAATTATAGGCCAATAAATATTTGAAAATAGCCACTTTGTTCTAAATTTTATGAGGATTACAAATATATAATAATATAAGGAAGTAGATTTGCAAATAAATAAGTTATGGGCAAAAAACTGATTTCAGTACATAGCGTTTAGCTAAGAATGCATAGCCTAACCATAGCTAGGAATCTGGCTGATAATTTACATCAATATCACTACCTACTTCTTCAGGATCATCAACCAGCACTTCAAAACCACTTAAATCTTCTTATAATGCACCACGTATATCACTACTTTTGATTTTTAACACTAAAACAATGATAAACGTAATAAAACACATCAGTCATCGGTCCGAGGGTAACCTAGCTGTTTACAAATACACGCACGTCAGCAGCGTCAGCTGTCTGCTACAATATTTTCGGAACTAAAATGAATAGCGCTTAGAGACAGACCTCTGCAGAAAGCTTAGAATATTACGGAAAGACCGATACCTAACTCGATCCAGTTCAATCCGATTCAGTCAGTCATAGAGCCTTCGCCGTAAACGATGTCTGCGTGTCGAAAAATCGACAAGTAACACTACACAAAGTGTGCTGCTTGTCGAATTTTCGTCAAGTAACACTGGGAGGGTTAAGTGTTTGGTGATCTTATTGTGTATCTGTGTGGTGGTATGACTCAGCTACTACCGTTGCAGGATAGAGCTTTATTCATGCCTGATTATCTTTCAAATCAGTGGTATCACATGAATGTTTTGCATACGAACACATTCAAAACAATTTCCAACTAAAAACTACCTATGAGTCAATCTGGCGAAGATCAGTCATTTTCGTATTGCTCTTACTAATATTGCTCATGGAACAATAAAAGAGGAAGATTATATTCTTTTCTTTACGATTCATATAAATAATAGGCCTACTAACAAAATCTTAGAAATATACAACGCTCTTCGTATCATGGCAAGAAAAAAAGAGTCCTAACATGGCTACTGACACCCTTAATGAAATGGCTTAGCTGCATAGCTCTGTAGCATTAATTTGTGTCATAAACAATCCTTCAATAACCGCAATATTGAATTCCGATGAATGCCAATCTTTTGAAAACATCCTCAGATTAGCCAAAGGATGTAGAGTCATGTAACACCACAAACTTTTGACCAATGTAGAATTAGTCTATGGTGCTATTGGCACTGTCCATATATTTTATACAAACTTGAAATAGTCTTATCACATTTGAATATGCAGCTTTTATGTGTATTCGTTGAATTTAGTAATTATAGAGGATCCACATCATACAATAATTTGGTACCTACCGATTGTCGCTATTGTAACTAAATTTGTAAAACGTGGCATTAAATGTAGGTACTCGAAAACCATTTTTATTGACACTTGCCTTTCACAAATTGCAAGGCATGACTCTAAACCAAGCAGTTATTGATAATGACCAAAGAGAATTCGGTACTCGGAAATTATGTTGTTAGGGAATTGTATGTTGCAGTGAGCCAGCCCGAACGATATATGGACTACTTTTCGACCTAGGATTTCCAAAAGAAGGTGAAAAAGAAAGATAAACATTTGGTGTCACTGTTATGACGATTTTTAAAACGTTTATTATAGCTCGCTTTTTTGTCTAGTACAAATTTTGCAATCAATTTTATACTAACTTCCCGATGAGCTGGAGACTTGAAACATAGCTCACAAATGGATAACAATGCAATATTATATCATTTAATTTTCATACTTCCCTTGGGCTACGCCCCATAGGCTTGTTTTTATTAGCTCGTTTAAATTTTGAAATCAATTATAAACGAAGTTCCCGATGAGCTAGAGACTTGAAACATACTAGCTCACAAATGGGTGACAATGCAATAATATATAATTTAATTTTCATATTTCCCTTGGGCTACGCCCCATGGGCTTCCAAATTTTTCATGTTTACATTTTAAAAGAATGTAAATATATCTATTAATTTAAGTCGGCTGTAAATACTTAAATTTGACAGTTCGAAGAGCAGAGGTTAAGAGATACAGTAGCCTAAGGTTCTGCTCCCGAGATATTCTAAAAATATAAAGCAAGCATTTTAAAGTAAAGATAAAACATCTGATTACAGATAATAAGGTTTTGGTTATGTATTAACAGGCCAGATAAAATAGATTTAACATAATATTTACACATTGCATGTTACCATGAAGTAAAAGACTAAAAAGTAGATAATAATTTATGAATAAAAAAACTTTTAAAAAATGCCACGTTTTTAAACACACTTAACAGTAGAAAATAATTTATAAATAAGTTAGCCTATGATGAGAGAATAAATACTTAGGATATAAAACGAAAAACGTAGGGCGCATGCGATAGATCGTAATAGTTCAATAGGTGATTTTAATTGTAAATTAGCATCCGCCCCACGTTTTTTGTTTTAAATCTTACAAGTATTTATTCTCTCAACATATTTATAAATTATTTTCTACTTTTTTTTGCATTTTTAAAAAGTATTTTTATTTATAAATTATTGACTTTTAGTTTGAAGTTCACATTCATTGAAATTAATTGACCAATCATTAAAAGTTATCTCCACACAATCTTTAGTCTATTTGAAATTCTAGGTAAAAATATTATTGACGCTTTATGGTGGGGGTCAATGGCATTATAATACCCTGATGACTCCGCTCAATTTTGTGGACCGTCTGCGAACGCTACCTAGTTAAAAGAGCCAATTCGTACTTTGAGTCAACTCAGTTCCAGGAAATAGGGCCGCTTACTCAGTCTTCGCTGTCTTATATAACCTTCTACAAAATAGAGAAAACATAGCCTATAATAAAGACGACAGCTTAAATGTTTTATACTTATCCATTATTTGTCTAACTGTACACAAGTAGGCCTAACTTACAATATAGTACAATTTCTAATTGTTTAATATCTGCCTTAAAAACACAGTAGGTAGGCTAAATATTTCTTAACATAAATGTTGTCCCAAAAAAAATCCTGTCCCGCAGGACTTAAAGCAGTTTTAAAATCTTCATTATTAATACGCTACATGAAACTTTGTGAACAAAGAGGCTTTTTTGTTTTAAGATTTAACCCCACATTTAAGTAATATACCAAAATGTTCATCTAGGTGTGGAGATTTGCAAACTGACCTAGGGTTTTGAAAAATACCCTTGGGGATGTCCCAGTGGATTTTTAAGTTCCCATGTTATCCTAATGAAGAACATATTTGTTTACATTATGATCAGCTGGATTATTTAATTGCTGTTATTATATTTAGTTGCAATTTAAGGAAACGTGTGCTGAAAAACATTTACTGACTTTGTTGAAATGAAATATTTAGCCTACTATTTGAATTTGGGTTGTAGTAAATATTAAAATGGAAAAAAAGCGAGAAAGCCTGGATGATTTGATAAACTAAAAAGAAAACTGAATTAGGCTAATACTGTGCTGCATTTCTTGAGCAATCATTAAAAGAACCAATTTGCAAACTATGGAAACATAAGAAAGTCATAGAACACCAAGTAGAAGAAATAGAAAATGTTTTTTTTTTATTTATAATTGCTATTATGGACAACCTAATGGGTTATGAGTGGGAAATATGTGTAGGAAACACTACAAAACAAGATCAGCTTTTGAAAAATTATAACATATTTACAAGACATTTTGATTATAGGTATTTATTTTTTTAGGTGATTATTTGTAGCTTTTTTAAAGTCATCGGAAATTATTACAGTTAGGCCTATTTGTTTTAAAATAACTCCTGTAATATTTCGCAATTGCTGGAATTTGAGCAACAGGTAGCCTACACTTAAGCCTCAGACAATTTTGAAACTTAAGGTACAGTAGTAGGCTATAATGAATATAATAATACAAACAACAAGAATTAGTTGGCTTATTACAAAGGTTTGACTTCAGTTTTGACGACTTTGTGGTTTCCAAGGTCATTGCAAGGCTAACTAGCCCAAACAGGCCAACAGCCTACTGAGTAAAAGTGGTTGACCTTGACCAAATAAATCTGGTTGAAGAGTTCTTAAATGATACTGGACAATATCTAGGCCTAAACAAACCTTAAAATAAAAAATAATGTTAAGTTAGCATCTGAATTAAATAATATATTAGGTTACTAGTGTGGAAAAAGGAGTTCAAGTTACTGGACAGATGTAGTCAGAACCGTGAAATTACGATAAGTTAAGCATATTTTGGACGAGTGGTGGCGTACAATATTCTTCGCCATTACTACCTTAAACTTGACTTTAACTATAAAAATGTCAATATCTATTAAATGATCCAACATAGCCTAATACCTTCATTGGCCATTCCACATGCATTTGTAATGTCTATTGGAAAATAAAAGCTTTGATTTTATTTGATTTGATCCCACAGATTTAAGGCCTTTGGAATCACTACCAATAAGTTACTGATACTCAAAACTGCTGTAAGAGTTTGTTTTCATTTGTAACCACTCACTGTCATTGAAATAACTTATTATAGGCTACTAGCCACAGAGAAGTAAATTGCAGAGGACACATTCAATGGCACGTTTAAGTGGTATCTAGAGCAAATTCTATTCATCGTCCCCTTCAGCTCTCCTTTCACCCCTTGCCATTACATACTAACTTACAGCGCTCACGCTAAAGGAAGAACTTGTACGCTACCTCTTCTGTACAAAATGCTATGTGGCGATCGCCTACAGGCTCTTCCTTCCTTGGTAAAAGTATTCCGTCCCACCATAAGTTACCAGAGCTAAAAATGAGTGGTTGTCCCACAAGCTTATTGTACATCTTAACTTAGGCTACTTCTCTGTGGACTAGCCTACTTATTATCTGTAAGTACCCCCAGATTTAACTTAACTTATGAATTCTAATTTTTAACCCTCCAGCTGCTGATCGACGCGGGTGAGTCGATTGCCACACCCCGGCCAGCTGCTAGTCGACTCGAGCGAGTCGATACGTAAGGTGTCGTTTAATCTACTTCACTCCGTTCCGGTATACAAGAAACTGAATTGAGTTTGGTATCTCCGTAAACGTCAGATTTCAGGCTTTCTCCCGATACCTCTCTCTAATGCTTTAACCCAACTGGCTGCTTTGTAAAACGACTTGCAAAATTGACATCGTCGCGCCAGCTGTCTGCTGTCTACAAACAGTGCTAACCTGCGTAGTTACCAAGTCTGTTTGTTTATGTAATCCAAAGCGGTTTATAATGTATTTAATTAGTGTTTTTAAGTAAATAATGGATAGTAGTGACTTCTGTGTGTATTTTAGTGAGGATCTTAGTGATCCTGACGAAGATTTGTTTGGTGTTGGTAATGAAAACGTACGAATCCTAGGCCTAGGCCTAGGCCTATGCCTACTCTTGATCCTTGGGTGAGGGTTTCTGTAGCCTATATAAATGAGATATAATATTTTATTTTTTATTTTTTGTGCCTATAAGTTAAAAGTATATATTTTCTTGTTCCTTATTAGGCTATAACTTAAATTCACTACAAAATGGCTATTTTCAATTTTAGTTCAGAGCAAAATAATTTTATTTTTATGATGTGCAAAGTTACAAAATGAAAACAAATTTATACATCTTGTTTGTTTACATCTTTAAAAATATTTTTAAAGAAACATAACCATGCAATAAGTTAATATGGTATGTTTTCGTAGATAATTTTATACTGAACAAGAAAATATATAATAAGTTATGTTATGGTTTGTTTAATTTTTAACCCTCCAAGTGTCCATAGTTTAGGCCTTAATGTCCACCTATTTTTGGCGCATTTGCAAGGTTTTATTAAAACGGATCTGAGAAGCTTAAAACGATGTTAATTCTAATGTTCTATATACCATTTTGTTTGGAAAATCATGGGCTTCAATATTATATATAAAACATAAGGAACATTTTTTCCAAAAAAAAAATTTTTAGGTAAAAAAAATATAATTTCGAAAATTTTCAAAAAAAAGATAAGTTCGCGCTCAATGAAATTGTATAAATTATAGGCCTATAAATATTTGAAAATAGCCACTTTGTTCTAAATTTTATGAGGATTACAAATATATAATAATATAAGGAAGTATATTTGCAAATAAATAAGTTATGGGCAAAAAACTGATTTCAGTACATAGCGTTTAGCTAAGAATGCATAGCCTAACCATAGCTAGGAATCTGGCTGATAATTTACATCAATATCACTACCTACTTCTTCAGGATCATCAACCAGCACTTCAAAACCACTTAAATCTTCTTATAATGCACCACGTAAATCACTACTTTTGATTTTTAACACTAAAACAATGATAAACGTAATAAAACACATCAGTCATCGGTCCGGGGGAACCTAGCTGTTTACAAATACACGCACGTCAGCTGTCTGCTACAATATTTTCGGAACTAAAATGAATAGCGCTTAGAGACAGACCTCTGCAGAAAGCTTAGAATATTACGGAAAGAACGATACCTAACTCAATCCAGTTCAATCCGATTCAGTCAGTTATAGAGCCTTCGCCGTAAACGATGTCTGCTTGTCGAAAAATCGGCAAGTAACACTATACAAAGTGTGGTGCTTGCCGAATTTTCGTCAAGTAACACTGGGAGGGTTAAACTTTATTGTTAATTTTTTTTTTGATTGCCGCAAATTGCCTAAAAAATGCTTAGCATCAAGGGCAAATATAACTAGCAGTTGGAGGGCTAAGTAAATCTTTTAGGCCTAACTTATGAATTTTTATGTAAAACTCTGCATTGTGCCAAATATCGTGTGACATCAACAAATATTTGACATGACACCCGGAGGAGGGATAAACACACTTGAAACAAACAGCCTAACCTAAGATAGGCTAAACCTTCTTAAGTGATCCAAAAGTGTAGGCCTAAAGATTAATAAACAGACAGAAACCAGCTTACGCTAAGCTAACTTAGGACCTAACTTAAGCCAAACTGTTGGCTGCACTTTACTTGACGTCCTACACTCATTCGAATGAAAATATTGATCGATATATCGATTGCTTCATTCGATATATCGTTTGGTTAGTTAGGTAAGGTTAACCTAACCTAACTAACCAAACGATATATCGAATGAAAGAATCGAATGAAAATATCGAAACGAAAAAAACCAATCGAATGAGTGTAGGACGTCAAGCAAAGTGCAGCCAAACTGTTTATTAACCAACCTAGGTAACTTAGGCCTAGGCTAGTAAGTTTTAAGTTAACAATCCGCCTAACTTAGATCAATTGAAAAGCCAGCAAAAATATGCCAATTGGCTAGCATTTATAAGTTAATCAGATTTGACTTATAGTTTTACTTGTCGGCTAACTTAGGCTAGGGATAAGGTCTAGGGCAAGTTAAGCCTGTTAAGATTCCACATTTCTACCGGGTTACCTGACAGCAAACTCAGACACAATAAGAGTTAAGGACTAGCGTATGTATTCATCACATCTAAGGTTGATGGTTGGCCGATGGTTAAAGACAAAGCATATTATCCTGATTAATATCATTTCCAACCACACATTTTTCTTTTATAATAGGAGCCACGCCATGTTGGCAAATCTAGGAGGGACCCGCAACCCGCCGCAACTTATATCTAGATTTTGAGCTATAATTCAACATTAAATCACAAACAGCGCTATGAGAAATTTAACTTTTAAGTTTAAACATATAAAAAATCAAACTGCATTTCAAATAACGATTAAGAATAACTAAAAACACTTACTTTCTTTCACCAGAATTTACCGACATCGTTTCACTTGCTATAAAGCAGAGGAAAAGGACTTTGGGTGGGCAGTCACAGACACTTTACGTTCAGAGGATGGTGAATCACGTTTTTGCTTTATTCATACGCAGTATCAACTTAATATTATTAATTTTTAAACGCGGACTCAACTGTTATTTGAAATTATTCAACTTTTTAATAATTGTGGTCTTCCGTGGGTAAATTTAAATAGTATCACATTAATTTCTACCTGTATTTTAATTAAAAAACAATAGATCTACTTTTGTAGCGGAATAAAATCCGGATTTGAGAAGAGTGAAGACTGAAGAGTGAGACTTTTGCGGCAAGACGAAATATTTCATTCCTCACGAGTATACACTATATGAGTTTTTGTGTTTTTAATTAAAACAAGAATAAATTTTATCATCACCTAATAAAAGAACATTGGTCAGAATTCTAATCATCATTAAATTTAAGGATGTATCCTTTTGGAATTTTTGTTACCGGCCATTTTATGTATATACCTACTACTTCAAATCCTAATTTTATTTATTGATCAGAGCGAACGAAGCTCTTAAACTACACCATTGAGTATACACGTACGTGCACTCCATGATATTGAGTTGCCTGTGGCCTCCAGACAGAGAACATCCCAACGTGGACAGCGAAGTAACATTGTTCCAAGTCGTCGCGGGAACGCCCGGGCAGTAATGCAGCAGTAGGAGTAGGGTGAATAGGTCATGCCAATAAAGTGCAAGCACGACTGAAAATACCCCTGAACTGAAAGAAAACAACTGCGTGTGTTGTAGTATAGTAGACAAAGATTGAGGAAACTGGTCTACGCCTTTTATCAACAACTATGCCGTGTGTTAACGGTTGATCACTGCAGTCTGCAGATGTGTTTATTGTGCATAAGTGCAGTCTGTGTTGCAGTATGGCGTACTAGCGTGGGACGGTGTATCTGATGTCAGAAAACGTAACGCAGAAAACCCTAATCAAAATTATTCTTAAAAAGCCAAACATTATTCAACAAATTTACTTTTTTCCGAATTCCCAGTTTTAAACATTTGACAACTGTTCATCAAAACACTATTACTTATTAAGAATAATAAGGAAATTATTAATTTTTTCCAATCTTACAACACAGTTACCACACTAGACACAGACATAACTTTGGATACCGCACTCCACAACTAGCCTCCCAGACAGCACACTTTCTCCTCAGGACATCCCACGGATATTGCGACAGGATATGCAAGATATCCCATAGTGGTCCTATGGTCAACTTGGGATATCCCAGGATATCCACTGGAATGCGTAATGTCCCCGCCCGGGGATGTCCTACGGATAAGCTCACACGCATATCCGTAGGACATCCGAGGTCATCCCAGGGTAGCCTTCAGGACATTCTCAGGACATATGGGACTACTATGGGATGTCCCTGGGATAAAGTGTGGTCTGGGCCTGAACATAAAAAACACAAAATAATATAGATTTAGTATGAAAAGCTTAATTATAAGTTTAGTAAATTGATTAAATAGTTAATAAACACAAATTTGAAGAAAAAAACGAGAAAAAAGTTTTTGGCCCTGACGGGTCTCGAACCTGGTTCCTTCGCCTTATGAGCCTCATACTTTACCTCCTTAGCTATCTGCGCTTGATGATTGTGAGTGTTTTCAAGTGGTCAAAGAGTAGCGACAGTTGCTATAGTCACAATACTTAAAATATTTTTGATACTACAGTATATAATATGATTCTGTTAATCTGTTTTCTGGTAGTTGGAGAGGATACTGGTATTTGAATATAGATTATTTAATTACCATTAGATTAGCACTGTTATAATTGATTGTTATGGTATATGATTAAAATTAGTTTTAGATTACCTAATTTGTTAATTTAAAGTTAGAATTAAATACACGTTCCACACAACTATGATAGAACTCTATTTTTCCTTAACTCAGTGGTAGTTATATGTCAGTAAAGTAACGTCAGCCCTTGCTAGCCACAGTATTAACAAGACATATTTTCAATTTGGGAAACCTTAAACTTAAAAAATAAAATTATAAAACCTCAACATCTTAATGCGTGGGAATGTTATTTTATAGAAAAAACAGACCAAAATTATTTGTTAAATAATGAAGACGGCCCAATTATAAACTCGGAATTACTGAAAATAATTACATTAAGAACAACACTGTAATATATCCTAAATTCTATAGATTAATTTTTCTAATATTATTTTTATTTTTACAATATCCTTTAAATCATCTGTTTTAACTTTGTTTAAAATAAATTTATTAAATAAATACTTACTTTTTGTACTAGTGTAATACAGCCTGAAGATATGTTGAAGTTCGTTTGCTACGCTCACTCACCTTTTGGTTACAAATTAGCTGTTGTCATAAATAAATAAAAATAATAGTGCTGCACGCTGTTGGTAAACTTTTTAATATTTTAATGCTATTGAACATCACAGAATCAAATTGTTTAGTTGAACCAGTTGTTAAGATAATTTTCCCACGGATATTGCGACAGGATATGCAAGATATCCCATAGTGGTCCTATGGTCAACTTGGGATATCCCAGGATATCCACTGGAATGCGTAATGTCCCCGCCCGGGGATGTCCTACGGATAAGCTCACACGCATATCCGTAGGACATCCGAGGTCATCCCAGGGTAGTCTTCAGGACATTCTCAGGACATATGGAACTACTATGGGATGTCCCTGGGATAAAGTGTGGTCTGGGCCTGAACATAAAAAACACAAAATAATATAGATTTAGTATGAAAAGCTTAATTATAAGTTTAGTAAATTGATTAAATAGTTAATAAACACAAATTTTGAAGAAAAAAACGAGAAAAAAGTTTTTGGCCCTGACGGGTCTCGAACCCGGTACCTTCGCCTTATGAGCCTCGTACCTTACCTCCTGAGCTATCTACGCTTGGTGGATATGAGTGTTTTCAAGTGGTGAAAGAGTAGTCGACAGTTGCAATGGTCGCAATACTTAAAATATTTTTGATACTACCCCAGTATAGGCTATAATATGATTCTGTTAATCTGTTTATGCCTCAAGTAGTTGAATTGTTTTTCTGGTAGTTGGAGAGGATACTGGTATTTGAATATAGATTATTTAATTACCATTAGATTAGCACTGTTATAATTGATTGTTATATGATTAAAATTAGTTTTTGGTTGTTTTATTAATTTAAAGTTAGAATTAAATTCATATTTCACACAACTATGATAGAACTCTAGTTTTCTTGAACTCAGTGGTAGTAATATGTCAGTAACGTTAAGTCAGCCCTTGCTAGCCACAGTATTAACAAGACATATTTTCAATCTGGGAAACCTTAAACTTTTAAAACAAATTATAAAACCTCGACATCTTAATGCGTGGGAATCTTATTTTTAGAAAAAAAACCGACCAAAATTATTTGTTAAATAATGAAGACGGCCCAATTATAAATTCGGAATTACTGAAAATAATTACATCAAGAACAACACTGTAATATATCCAAAATTCAAAAGATTAATTTTTCTAATATTATTATTTATTTTTCCAATATCCTTCAAATCATCTGTTTTAACTTTGTTTAAAATTAATTTATTAAGTAAATATTTACTTTTTGTACTAGTGTAAACACAGCCTGAAGATGGAAACCAAGCTTCTGAAAACGCTAGTGAAAAAAACAAATTATTATATATTATTGGCATTGTTGAACATTTAAATTTAGATATACATTTCATCAGTGGTAGTATTTTTTTCTTCAGTTTGTTACCGGGACATTACGGGACATTACAGTATATCCAGTGGATTTTGTACATGTCCCGGGATTTCATGGGACATTCTGGGATATCCTTTGGCATTCGTACATATCCCGGGACTTTACAGGATATCCTGAGGTTAACTTACAAATCCCGGGACATTACGGTATATTGTAGGATATCCTGTGGATTTCGTACTCGTCCCGGGATTTTGCGGGATATCCTGAGGATAGCGTACATATCCCGAGACATTCTCAGGACATATGGGACTACTATGGGATGTCCCTGGGATAAAGTGTGCTGTCTGGGCTATATGAACTATAGCCTGCTTGTTCGTTGAAAAACAACGTATTTTACATAGCTCACATCCTTTACCGCAACTTGCCGCCCAAACATAATTGATGCTGAATCAGGCAGTGTCGCTGTGTATTTAAACGCAAGGTTTGTTAGTGGATGATGACTGTAGGACGAGAGGCTGTACAATTTTTATTTCAGCTGCAGAGTTTTTTTGCGGACAAAAATGAGAATTAAAAATGAAAAAGTATAAAATTTATTTTTTTTATTATAAAATTAAGAAAAAATAAAATCAAATTATTTTTTAATTATTTTGTGATATAACCCAGTTTCAAGAACAGTTTTAATCAATTACCTTTTTGGTTTTTGTTGCCGTGAAGTTCTTGTTGTTTTTGATACCTGATGCGCATTTCGCCACAGGTTGTGGCATCTTCGCTATATTTGTTTTGAGCATGCCTCAAAGGCCACGTCGTAATATTGGTCGTCGCACCAATAATGCAAATATTGTAAGAGAGTGGCGTCGTGAACAAGAAGAACCAGATGAAGCAGTGGCGGAAGAAGCTGATAATGATAGGCAGTTAGCTAATCAATTCCAACATGAATTAGATGCACTAAAATTTTACACTTGCACTAACTGTCATCATCGCCAACAACTAACATCAGCTTCAAACCAATCACCGATTTGTTCGCGTTGTCGTTCAAATGCAACTAAATTCACGGCGTTAAATAATATGGATGTGTCAAGTGTCCCGAACAAATTAACTGACCTGACGATTGTAGAACAAATGTTGATTGCGCGAGTACATCCCGCTATGCGCATTTACAAAGTACAAGCAAATGGTCAGGCTTTTATCAATTCTTATTCTTATTCTTAACTAAATAAATGAACTATCAGATAAATTTGCCATTCTTTAGAACTTAAATAATATCGGGCAAACAAACGGTGAATCTGTTGAAAGGGAACATATTGTAGGTTGTTAGCTGCTTTAGCCATTAACAATCTTTAAAATAATGCTTCGCTCATTTATGCGTCTAAAGTGTAACGACAGACCACCCTAGTTGTATAATGGAC